TATTTGATATTATACGAATATAAAGTCACTCTCAGATATGTTATTGAAAAGTGTTATGAACATGTATATTGTAACATTTACAATTTTAAACATTTTTTTAATAACAAAATATTTATCAGAAATTTTCTGCTCCCAGATATTCATCTAAAGAAAGAATGTTCCTTTTGCTACATCATGTCCTTTCCAGAGCAACCAATTATGAGGTCACAAAAAATAGCAATTACATTAACTGAAGAAAACACATCAGGGATAAATGAACCATTAGGGACATCCATGAAAACAGGATGTTTGTCTTCAATATTAAGAGCAGGAGAGGAGAAATAAAGAAAATAAAAATTATATCTGAAGAATTGTTTCCTATACTGAATGGTTTTCAAAAGCGATCCATGAGATATTAACATGCCTCTAAGGAAAAGAAAAGAATACCACAGGCAAGCAGATTGTAGACACCTTTTTACTCCTGGAAGGAAAAGCAGAATACATGAGGTGAACTTGCAATTGGGACGGAAAGAAATGGCTCCACCACAAAACAGTATTTCTTCTCCTTTTACTTCAATACTGTACCATCATAAGCAGTGTCTAGTTGGGACCAGATCCCCCACACTTCTTGCCCAAGCAAAATCCCTATTGACTTCAGTGGAAGTATTCACTGAAAAAGGAATACAATACTAGACACTGTTAGCATAATAGCACTACTGTCATTTAACAGCTGTGGAACAACCAAAAGCGGGAAAGAGATTCTTCCGCAGGGTACAGGAATTATCACTAACAAACAGATATTCACTACATTACCTCACACTTTCTGCAAGAGTCCTGTTGGTCTCCTTATTACCACTGGATCAGAAGACAGGCACGTCCATTTACAATTAATCTGACATCTTCACCCCATCTTTTCAGACCAAGAGCTGGATGTGGTTATTTATGGATACGTGACCTCCATGCTTGATTACTGTAATTCATCTAATCCAGGAATGAATCCATACATCTTGAAAAAAGTCCAATTCATATAAATTGTTGCAGCCCACCTACTCAGCCACCCTAGGTCACAATGAGCTCACCATCTCAGTACTCCACTGCCTGCACTGGCTTTTTGTTGTATTCAGAGCACTATTCAAAGTCTCTGTTCTACTATTCAAAACTTTCTATGGGACTGATCCTAAAGAGCACCACTCCATTCACAACCACCACCACTCTGTGATTATACACAGTTATGCTTCATCATAACAGTGAAATTGTCAACCAATAAGAGAAGGCTCAAAAGTGCAGGGGATGGAACTTTCGCCTGAGCTGAACAAAGATTGCAGAACTCACTACTAGAAAAGATAAGAATGACAATGGATCTCAACTACATTCAGAACTAGAGGCAAGCACCAGTCCCTCAACTTAGCTTTCCCTCTAAGTATCACAAACATGTAACTATACCTCCAACAAGCTAGGAAGGTAGAATAAGATTGCTATTCCTACTTTTATATAGATGGGAGGCACTCTGCTACTACAGTGATGAAGGCTAGCAAGAAAGACAGAGAGGATCTATGTTTAACAACCATGCTAGTTAAAGAAGCAACGCATGACTGAGGAGAATTCTCAGCAGATTGGAGCATATGTCTCTCTTGTAAGGAAAACACATTTCAATCCTCCATTCCGTTAGGATATACTTCAGTCCCAAAGCTATCTTGTTGGAAGAATATCATTGGTTTCGGTTTTAAATGCTTTTGAGTTTTGTTCTCATTTCAAGAAAAACCATTATGTCCTTCTGACATAAATTTAACCAAAAAAAACCCACAACCTTTATTCTTTTTCTCCCACAGCATGTAACACCTGACTGAACCTAACTGAACTCTAACAATCTCTAAATACATATAAAAATCAAATACATTTAAAAATCGAATTGCAAGTTTTCAGTCATTTGCTTAAATCTTTAAAAAGCACAGCTAGATTTTTTCTTCACAACGGTAACTTATAAAGGAGCACATTTTTAATTAGAGAAGTTCAGGAGCCAGATTCACATGCATCTTTATAAGCCAACCAGAACTCCTCATGACACTGGAGGAATTCATCCTGAAGGAAGAGTTTCCAAAGCCACCTTCCTTTGGGGATCCTGTTAGGTCATGCAGCTTTACTTGATGAGGAACTGCCCACCTCAGGGTCCTCAGACAGCATTTACAACACTGACATTAGCCAGCATCATCACTAGAAGAATTTGACCGTGGAGCTCTAACAGTAATTCTCTCAGATTCTCCTTGGGGGGGGAGGGGGGGGAGGGTAGAATCCTTTCAATTTGTACAATTCATCTCCTTGTGAAGAGATCAAATGAAGGCTTAACATATATTACACTGCTCCACATAATTAGTCAGTCTTCAAATGCTCACTCTTTTCCCCTGTCCCTACCATATAATCCCAAAGAAAGTTGGTAATAAACTAACAGCTGTTTCCTGCTGCATTCTGAAACAAACTAAAGCAACTAATCCAGCATTTTTATCATAATATATCATATAAATTCCACCCAAAAGCACCAATATTTTACTTATATACAGGCCATAATAATCACGGAAAAAGCTGCAGATGACTAACACTTTATTAAATACTGCTTATTAAACAAAAACTCCAATACACCAATTAGGTTGAAAATTTTAATTATCAAAAGTCAGGAAACTCAAAAACTAAGATTCCCACTGAAATGTAAATTTAGCTAAATTATACATGTATAATATAGTAATTTTGATTAATTTTAAATTTATGCTTTAATATTTTGTTTTCCTCATCGAACCATCCTGTATTTTTGTTATTTTAATAATGAAAAAAATGCCCATTTGATTTCCTGTGTTCTTATTTCAGCACGTAAGCACTGAAACAATCATTGGCATGGAACTAGTCTCACAGTGAATTAATTAAATTAAGTGCTATATTTGAATGTCTAATCATGATTTAAAAAAAAATGCAACACTTAAATAACAAGTCCTGAAAAAAAGAGAGAAGGAGGTACATCTCAAATGCTCAGCTCTCTCAGTTTTACTGATTATTTGACATCAAAAACCTGAGATTATGCTCTAGAAAGGGAATTGGAAGAAATATAATCTAATTTTATTACCCTATGAAGCTGTGCAGAGCAGGGCCTCTTGACAGTAAGACCTACTCACTAGGCTTGTTTATGGAATTCTGGACCAGTTGTAGATCAAAATATGGAAGATCCTGTTTTTCACAGCTTCTATACTATATGGTAGTAAAGTGAAGTTCTATTTCTTGTAATTGCTGTGATGATTAATCCCTTGTAAGAATGGGCTCTTACAACATGTTAATTTCATGTCTAATCACTGAAAAATTCAACTGTAGTTATTTCTAGTGTGCACACCTCCAACTACACACACATTTATACATACATATAAATAGAATGGTTAATTTTGCACACATATACTATCTGCTAAAGGAAATAAAAAATACGCAACACACACAGTATGTCATTTTAAAAGGCTTTGAATTTTCTTCCTTTTTTTTTTCTTTTTTTTTTTTTGATTTTACCAAAACACATTTTCTCATTGACTGCTAGCGAATATGGCAAATTTGCAATATTTAAGAGAAGCCAGCACTGATGTCCCACAAGTGCAGCCACTACCATCAGATATTGTGATGACACAAGGGGGCAGTGAACATACCAAATGGTTGTTTCCTACACAAAAGTTATTTCCTGTGATGTAGCCCTACAGAATGTAGGAAGCTCATCAGCCAGTAAACCCAGAACACTCTTCAAAAAGTCACTGTTAGAGGCACAAGCCCCTTCAAACATGCAATATGAGGCTACACAAGGGAGCATGGCTCCCCACCTCAATTCCTTTTTACCACTCAATAAGGAGATATGACTAATCTGGATTTATCAAATGATGAATGGCTAGAATGCTGTGCTACCTTATTTCTGAACTATCCAGTTCATTTAATCATAGAATCTAAATTTATTTTATCCTCTTCCATTGTTGTATTGGTGTATTAACACAGTTAGGACTGGAGTATGTGACGTTTTTCCCTTCAAGTCAGTACTGAACTAATGACTAGGCTTTGTATTTGGGAATGATGTACTGCTGGAGGTGTCATCTTTCAAATGAGAAGAGAAACACAGAGGTCCTAACCATTCGTATTTATGAAAGATCCCATGGCATTTTTCACAAGTATTCTGGCCAAATTCTGACTTGGGTAATTACAGTCTGTGTACTTAAATTCCCTGGTTATTCACTTGTAATTAAATTCATTCAAATGCTGGTAAATCAAACCTTGCCCTCTGCACCATTTGCGTCTTAGCTGGTCCAGCAAAAAGGGCTTTAGTAAGGTGAATTTCACACTTCTTGAATAAAATTTGTACCAGGTTACAACTAATATTCATTTCAGGAGTGGATGAAGTGTGTGTGTACAGCATAAATAAAGGCACATTAAATGAATATGAGAGACAGAGAGAGAAAAATACCTCACTGTAAATCCCTTTGGGATCCTTCAGGATGAAAGGCACTATATAAATGCAAGGTGATTGCATAGTAAAGAACTATGTGAAAGTAAAAGTGAAAGCATCTTCCTGAAAAATGGTTTTATAGTTGCTATTCTAGGAATAGGTACAGTTGCAACTATATGCATGGATTGTATTGATTAGAGTCATTCTTTATGTAATAGCCACATGTGATGCTACAATTATATTAAGAGGCATTGTTTTGGATTCCACAGGTACACAACTCTCCATATACAATTTACACGTTTGATGTCTATAACAGTGATCTCACACTTTTTCACCTCGTGATTTCACCTTTTCTCCTACCATAAAAAGTGAAATTCTATTCTTTGCTTAAACATGTCTTCAGTTTCCCTTTAAAAGTTGGAGGGAATAATCTCTTTAGTCCTTGTAATGTTTTAACTAATTCACAAAATCATTATTCTTACAAAAAATCCGCTAATTATTGGGTTTATTTGATAAAAGTGGCATCATGAGGGGTTTTGTGACAGCAACTGAGAATTTACAAAAAAAATCAACGGCAATTTCAAGTAATTTTATTTCTAAACATAAAAATTTTAAAATTATAGAAACCTTTAGATGACAGCATTGATTTTCTTTTTACTGAAAGACTTTGTTTGCCAGAGTTGGGCTGGGGAGGAAGGATATCATATAAGTTTGACAAAATGACAGTATACTGTCCTTGTGTTTTATGAATATAGAAAGATTAACTAAATAACTAAAAATGTTAATCTAATCCTAATTTTCTAAATTCAATGTGACATTATTAGAAAATATTAAACATATTAGGGTAACTGTTTCTTCAATTCCAATGGCAACAGGTTTTTAGGCAGATACTATAGACAGCAAAAAACTACTGATATGAAGAAATAAATCCAAAGTTGATAATTTACAAAGGAAGAGATGCCACAAGGCTAACGGTAGAATTTTCAAAGGCACCTAAAAAAACTATGATATCTGTGTTTTTAAATCACTTAAGTGCTTTAGAAAATCCTACCTATGGGAACAAAGTAAAATTATTAAAATACAGCATAAACTGGTTCAGAGCCCTGTAGAACTAAATCCAGGAGCACATACAGGGACCAGGTTAACATTCTTGAATTGTAGAGCACCCTCTGTCTGCTCCACTCTCGAAAAGATTGTGTATGTGACTCAATTTCATAGTGTTGTGGGAGTTTTACATTACAAATATAAGATGGCTTCACAGGGACATACTACGTTTAGTAACAACCCAAACTGTAACCATCTGATTCCTGGATGGCTTATGAGAAGTGAATTAGTCTCAGTCCAGTTTCCAGTGGGCAGGTGTCCACATCGAGATGGCCATCACAACTGGCAACCTTGTTAGTAGTTCCAGCAGACTCAGGGGTTGAACAGACATTGAGATTGAATTACGCTCTCCCCACTAGGTGGTCCCTCGATGACAAGTTTGAAGCACATTGGGAGTGAGTTGTGAGGTAACCTGTACTGCTGATTAGTACCCAGAATGTCCCTTTAGCTGTGGATACAATAGAGAAAGGACTTCAGTCTTCAGGACTATTTCACTTGAAAACAAAAGCATTGTTCTCAACCCCTAAACTTTCCAAAATTTAAATGGAGACATTCTGTAAAAATTGGATAAGTTAATTTTGAAGGCCCTGAAATTTGATCAGTAACTGAGAGACTTTTTTCCCTAAGAATTCATTAGTGTGACTACTCAAAGTTTCCCACAAAATTGGTAAGAAAGCTAAAGTGTTGCAATAAACAGAGCATCAATAGGAAACCAAACTAGAATAAAATGTAAAGTAAAGTAGTGGCACTAGAAAATACAATACAATTACTTGATAGAGTTATTCTGAAGAGAAGATTTTGTTTAATAATAGCCGAGAAAAAAATCTGTTTGCCAGGAAAGTAGAGAGATTGTAGAAGTCAAAAGGTACAATATTACGAATGCTGCCAAAAAAGTAAGAAGAAGGCACCAAGTTTTATCTTGATTGTTGAATTTATAAAACTAAAAAAAGCATTGACAAAACTGTATGAAACTCTTCCATTTCCATTCTGCAGATGCTGTGAAAATTTAAAGCAGAGCAAACGCTTAGATGGCAAGGAAACAAACCTGCCTTTTAAAACAGATTGCTGAAACTAATCAAGTCAAGATACAGTAGAAGATGCTACAACAGAGGAAACTAGATGAACCAAGAGCTATGTTTTTACTGAGTACAGTGTGGAAGAACAATTTTTCACATAGCAACCAATGCTTAAAGCCTTTTAGAAAAACTGTTAAAGTAATTGGAAGAATTAAGTAGGCCACGGCTGCATATGCTTGTGGCAGCCACAGAGGTAAGAAGCTAAAGCGTGTTGATAAAACTATCTGAAAGGGAGTTTTCTTCATGTTCTGCTTTTTCTACAGTAGGTGATTTTTTTCCACATGTTGAAGGCTTGCACTGTGATGATAAGCAACTTTTAATTAGGTTGAACAGATTTTAAAACAGGAACATTTTATCCTTCTTTAAATTACTATATTGAGAGATGGAGGTATAGTATAGTACAGTATTATCATTTGCATCACAATAGCTCAAAGGGCTCCAGTGAATTCTGGGCCCCTTTGAACTTGGTATTATACAAACACACAGGCAGAGACAGTCCCTGCCCAGAACAGTTTGCAAACCTAGGCCCCAATTCTGCAATATACAATGTGCAAACGGACTGAAGCCTCTGCAGCAGGGCCCAACTGAAGTCAGTAGAGCTCTGCGTAAATGCAGCAATCTGCCTAGACTTCCTGCAAAGACTCAGGGCTTGTCTGCACTAACACTTAAGTCGATGTAACTTACGTTGCTCAGGGGTGTGAAAAAACACGCCCGAGTGACATAAGTTATATTGACTTGAAGTGGTGGAGTAATTACACCGACAGGAGTGTGCTCTCTTGTTGAAATAGTATGTCTTCACCAGATGTGTTACATCGGATGCAGCTGAGCCAATGTGACATGGTAGTGAAGACAAGCCCTTAACTTCAAACATGTGTAGTCCTGCTGACGTTAAACATATCATATGCTAAGTCTTTGCAAGACTGAGGCCTAATAAAGACAAAATCAGAGTACTAACAAACACTACGAAGGAAAGGGATGAGGATAGCTAATATGTTTCTTGGGTTAGAATGGAGAGCTATGTATACTCTTGTGGGAGGGTGATTTTTTAATACCTCTTTCTGCTTTTTAAAATGTTAATACTTCTGGGATTTTTTTCATTATTATTAATTTGACATTGGAAGTTTGATTTGTCCATTTTAAAAGTAATGTGTTTCTTTTTAAATAGCAGCACTATCCTAATGCAACATATTTTTTATGCATGGAATATTTACACCATAAAATATTTTATTTGAAGCTGGAAATTAAAGTAAATTAATGATTATGTAATTTCATGGCAGGTCTGTATGAAACAGTTTCAGGCTGTCAGTGATGCCCAAACTATATTTTAATAAGTATCTTCCCCAGTTTTCAAACATCATAGACGTGAAAACTTTACTTCACTTCTCGTACACACAGGTATTTCTAAAAACCTGTCTCTACAGGTACTGTAGATGGCTCCAGGACGAGAACGCCAGATCTGAGCTTTACTATCTTTGGATAAGGTGAACTGGACTCTGGACCAGATTTCATAGTTCATACCCATTAGATCCTGTATCTTAACGCAAAAGCGTTTTATTAGTCTCTGGCATAGCACGGTTTCTTAGTGATCTCTTCAGTGTTTACCAATCTGGACCTCAATTAGGCAGACACTTGAGACATCCAAGCAGATTCTCCCATTTTGGTCTAATAGCCAGAGCACGTCTTGTCATTTTTTTTACTGACAGTTAATGAGGGGTATCTGAGGCCCAATCCAGCAAATCTCTTAAGCATATGCTTAATTATAACCATGAGCTGTCTGAAGCCAATGGGAATATTCATGCATATAAAATTAAATAAGTACAGTATTGCCAACCCCAAACATTTAAAAACCATGAATCAGACCTGCAAAAAATCATGACACCACTTGTAGTGCCCCCACTGGCTTAAAAAAAAATCATGATTTTTATAAATTAATAAAATTTGGTTCTTTTTATTTGTATTCTGGTTTCTGAGCCTTTATAGGACACTTACATATTCTAAAGCTTTTCTCCACTGCCATATGGGCTACACACTTTTTTTTTTGGTGGTGCGGGGGAACGACAGCTGAGAGGCTTCTAGAAAAAACACAAAATGTGAAACTTGCAGTAAAATTGCAAAAGTCGGCAACACTGTTCTTGACTGCTGTGCTGGATCAGGGTCTTAATGAACTACTGTCTTTACTTTGCAACTGGTTGGCCCCTTTTCAAATTCTCTGAGGTGAGCTCAGCTAGATTTTTCCCTCAACTTGTCTTTCCTTTGGAGGTGCAGGAAGCAATGCAGGCTTGGTTCCCCTGTGAATCTCAAATAGGATACGAGGCTCAAGCTTTTCCCCATAGGGCAATACAATACAAAGCATCTCTCAGGCCCAAAGCAAAGTAGAGGTCTCTTTCATTTTTTAATTAATAGTATTGATATATTTATGTGCTAAAATTTAATATTCTTAAATTTTGCCATGTAAAACTTACTTAAATCTAGTAAGAAGACTAAAGTATTTATTCAGCTGAGCATAATGAATTTAAAGCTGAGACTTTTCAAGTTAATTCACAGTTATATGTAAACACAGTCTATTTGCTGGGTTTTTAAACTTTGTTTCACTTTTTTTTCTTCTTCCAAACAATACTCAAGTAAGTTTTATTGCCTTTAATAAAATCAGTAACTGAAGAATCCACTTGTGCATTTGGTCCCTTTATCTTGAAATTCCTTGCTTCTTTAGGTTCAGGTAATTACAACCAAGGAACTTCTAAAGTGCACACTATGGGCACATTTAACATTTATGACGAGGGAAAATGATAGGGAGGTTAGTGTCTTATTACCTTAAATGATGGTGTTCAATAATGAATGGTGTTCTACAATGCAGCTTTAGTGCTAGATCTATTGACTGCCACCACATTGTTAATAAGGTATTAGTTTACATACTTCCTAGAACAAAAATTTAAAAACCCCAGTGGTAATTAAAGACAACCTCTGATTTAGAAACCCGGTAATGGGACAATAGAAGTCCTATTTTTAACATTTTCAGTTTGGTATCTCTAGACTATTAGGAATTTGTAATGACTCTTATTAAAGGAGCACAGTCAACCTGGTTCATCAAGCACACACACAAAATCATTTGCTTAAGTTGGTTTCCCTTGCAGATGTGAAGGCAAGGATAACTGATTTTTTAGAAAATTTGATCTTATCTAACAGGAGACGAACAAAAAAATCAAAATTCTGATTTCTTTTAAAGGAATTACATAGAAGTGCCATACTTCACAGAATCAAAGACTTCACATTTTTGGGTAATTACGTTATCAGTGAATCAACTTGCAGCAAACTCTTAGGTGACATTTTAATGTAAGAATCTTGATGGAACCTAGACAAAGAGCCTGACGTGTTTTATAGCCTGAGTTCTTACCACATCTTCTGTAGCATATACTAAAGTTCCTTTGGCTACACCAGATAGTCTTTGGTTTCATCTGATAGACTTGCTAGCCCTGACAGATACAAAAGCATAGCTAAATGTTCCACATGCAGAAAAGGTTGTCCCAAAGATAAGGGCACAATCAATTTTTCATCATCTGAATAACTTCTGTTTTGCATATCCCCACCTCAACTTTTCTTTCTAGAATCACAATTCAAGTTTCCTGTTCTTTTCTTTTGGCAGTCCTAAAGAATATGATCCTCCTCCTTAATGGTCAACGCTCACCTTTGCTTAGAAGCCTGCATAAGGTTCTCTTAACCGATTAAGGTCCACAGCAGTCTTGTGTAGTAGGCTCATTGAACCAACAATCATGTAGGGGAGGATCTCTGTACCCCGTGCATGGCATGAAGGGGAACTCCTATTGGCTTCCAGTTAATGGAAGTACACCTCTACCCTGACATAATGCGGTCCTCAGTAGCCAAAAAAATCCTACCGCGTTACAGGTGAAACTGCGTTATATCGAACTTGCTTTGGCCTTGAGCATTTCCGTTATTAATAGTCACTTCCTGCCCCTTCAGAAGCCCCGACCCATCCAACCCCCCCACCTCCCTGTCCCCTGACTGCCCCCCCAGACTCCTATTCCCCTATCCACACCCCCAGTCAAGCCCTCCCGGACTCCCACGCCCTATCCAACGCCCCCGTCCCCTGACCGCCCCGCCCCCAGAACCTCCGAACCATCCAACCCTCCCTGTCCCCTGACCACCCCCCAAGATTCTCTGCCTCTTATCCAACCACTCAGCCCCGGCCCAGCACCCTTAACATGCTGCTCAGAGCCGCATGTCGGAGCCAAACACGCTGACGCGCTGATCCACCGGACCGCGCAGCCCCGCCTTGCCCCCCAGAGCGCTGCTTTACCGTGTTATATCCAAATTTGTGTTATAACGGGTCGCTACAAGTTTTTTTGTTTTGTTTTGT